TTTGGATTTGACACAGATGTAATAGAAAAACTGCTACTTTAACAAGTGTTATGTTATGATTTTCTGATTGAAGATCTGTCTAGATCAATTAGATCTGCTTCACGTGCTTTAATTTAAGTATTCTAAAAGTTGATTTGTGTAGGGGCAGTTCTCTCGGTGGGAGATTAAGGTTTTCTTGAGAATAAATAAAAAAAATATTTCAGATATTTTATTATACAATAATCGATATACTTCGAATAATATACTTCAAACAATTTTGTTCTCTAAAGTCAACTTGATTCACTCGCGACACTTTGCATGTTACTTTATGTAAAATTTTACAAGACGAAGATCATCAACGACTAAATACATGAAATATAAGATGTGGACTCAATAATACCACTTGATGTTATATTTTAATACCTGTGTGATTTCAAGGGAACACTGAATGGCACCAAGTAGCATTATATAGAATTCGAACTACTTAATAGTGGTGATTTACGAATCAAACTCGTTAATGATGAGCGAATGTTTAAGTGTAACGTGGCGTTTTATTTTGCTATCATTCGAAAATTTCCAACAGTTTGATGTGTTTCCCATGTTTATTTCGTCATTCTTATTTATTTCCTTTCATCAATGATTGAATTTCGTGTAAGTTACACACAAAAGTTCCAAAGCTTTACGCTCGTGTTGATAGAAAAAATTCGGAAGAGAAGTAGGCACATCCAAGACTAACAGGATTCAATTTCCCCCTTCGTTCTATCTATTTCTTCGACTCTGGCTGAAATTAAAACGTTGTTACGTGGCCCTATCCATCTCCGTTTCATTCGGAATGATCCACGCGTGTAATCATCGGCACCTCGGCAAGTGGTTCGGAAGTGTTCGCGGAACGCAGTTTATGCGTGATGATAAATTTCGCGTAAAACTCGTCTCGTTATCCACCCGTGGTAGAAATATTAACTGCGCGACTGCCTTGTTTACGACAAGAGTACGCAAACGTGCAATAATTTGTCGAACCCAATCAACGAACTCGGTTTTTATTAAGCTCGTTTGCATCGAGATGATCTAAAAATAGGAAGCGTGGTTAGAATTGAATTAACCACCTTGCTTCGATCTTTTGCCAAACATCTCGGGGGTAGTCTCGAGTTTCTTTCGTTCCTGTTTTGCATTTGTGTATTCGGATGTTTTTGGAATTTGTGGTTATTTAACACTAGAACTACCAAAGTGATCAAAATTACTAATTTATAATTTCTTATGAAAATTTTATATATTTATAACAGTGTATTTTTAGATACTCGAGTGATTTTTAATAAAAGCTTGAATTCTTTATTCTATTATTAATTTTCTCTTGTAGCTTGCATTTTAATTTCTTTGCTACAAATATTAGACTTTTTCGTCGGTGTTAAGAAATTATTATATTTTTATAATTAATATTTTAGTTATTGTCTCGAGACGTCTTGAGATTACGTCTACCTAAACAGACTTCTAAATGAGACTCGACTTTCGTTAAAGAGTTACAACAAAAATGTTAAATGTAAAACTATATATACTTATGTATGCAATGCAGAATTTTTTATAAATGATTATTGATTCATTTAGCATTAGGTATATCTTTGAAATTCCTTTCGTCAGAATTCATCAAACTCATAAAGATAGTAAAACGTATTTTATCTAGTAAACGTCTTGTATTAAATTAATAATAATAAGAAAAACAAATTCGTGGCATTTTATATTTTTATTATAATTTCCTAACGAAGCACTTTTCGTCACATAAAATTTTAAACTTATTTTTATCTGTATGTATTAAGAAAATTTCACAAAATTTGCTACTGAAAATTTTGTGGATATTATTGATACAGGTATTGTACATTCATAAATTTGTGAAAAATACTAAATACTGACAAAAAAAAAAA